ATGATTGCCGTTATCCTCAGCCTGTCTGAGCATCATGCAGACATGTGACCAGAGGCTGCAAACCCCACCAAGGAGCAGTTTGGAAACCCTGATGAATCTGACTGCTACACATACATTATATTGCCAAAAGTATTGGCCCCGCCCTCCAAATCATGTGATTCAGGTGTTCCAATCCCCTCCACGGCCACAGGTGTATACAATCAAGCCCCTAGGCATGCAGACTGCTTCTACAAACATTTGTGGAAGAATGGGTTCGCTCTCAGGAGCTCAGTGACTCCAAGCGTGGTCCCGTGATAGGTGGCCACCTGGGCAATAAGTCCATCCGTGACATTTCCTGGCTACTAAATATTCCACGCTCAACTGTTAGTGGGATTATAACAAAGTGGAAGCAACTGGGAACAACAGCAACTCAGCCACCAAGTGGTAGGCCACATCACATGACAGAGCGGGGTCAGCGCATGCTGAAGCGCACAGTGCGCAGAAGTCACCAACTGTCTGCAGAGTCAATAGCTAAAGACCTCCAAACTTGGTGCGGCCTTCAGATGAGCCCAACAACAGTGTGTAGAGAGCTTCATGGAATGGGTTTCCATGGCCGAGCAGCTGCATCCAAGCCTTACATCACCAAGTGCAATGCAAAGCGTCGGATGCCGTGGTGTAAAGCATGCCGCCACTGGACTCTAGAGCTGGGGAGACGTGTTCTCTGGAGTGACCAATCACACTTCTCGGTCTGGCAATCTGATGGACGTGTCTGGGTTTGGCGGTTGCCAGGAGAACGGTACTTGCCTGACTGCATTGTGCCAAGTGTAAAGTTTGGTGGAGGGGGGATTATGGTGTGGGGTTGTTTTTCAGGGGTTGGGCTTGGCCCCCTAGTTCCAGCGAAGGGAACTCTTAAGGCGACATTTTGGACAATTTCATGCTCCAAACTTTGTGGGAAGAGTTTGGGGTTGGCCCCTTCCTGTTCCAACATGACTGCGCACCAGTGCACAAAGCGAGGTCCATAAAGACATGGAGGAACCAGTTTGGGGTGGAGGAACTTGACTGTCCTGCAGAGTCCTGACCTCAACCCCATAGAACACCTTTGGGATGAATTAGAGCGGAGACTGTGAGCCAGGCCTCCTCCCCCGACATCAGTGCCTGACCTGACAAATGTGCTTCTGGAAGAATGGTCCAACCTTCCCATAGACACCCTCCTAAACCTTGTGGACGGCCTTCCCAGAAGAGTTGAAGCTGTTATAGCTGCAAAGGGCGGGGCCAACTCAATATTGAACCCTACGGACTAAGACTGGGGGGCCATTAAAGTTCATGTGCGTGGAAAGGCCGGCCGACCAATACTTTTGGCAATAGTGTGTATATAAATATACAGTTTACGTATATCCCTACATACAAATAAACCAAAACAAAACAAGTTCAGAAATTGAGTTATGTGTGATAAAATGGAATGACACGGAAAAAGTACTGAACACAAGAGAAAGGCATGGAAAGCCAAGACACCAGCTGAAATCTATCGGTAATTAGAAAGCAATTCTGCCCCTTGTCAATGCAAATTAATATCAGCTGGTTCAGTCTCAACTGGTGGCCTATAAAAAAGTGTCTCATTACCAAAGTGTCACATAAGAAACATCTCATGATGGGTAAAAGCAAAGAGCCTTCGCAACCTTACAGTTGCAAAACTTACTGAAGGGATTTGTTAGAGAAGGATTTCTAAACTTCTGAATGTTCCAGTGAGCACTATTGGGGCCATAATCCGGAAGTGGAACGAACATGGTTTCCCCATAAAACCGGCCACAACCAGGTGCTCCTCGCATAATTGCTGACAGAGGAATGAAAAGAATTAACAGAAGAGTTGTCCAAGAGCCAAGGACCGGAGGTGGGTAGGGGGTGGAACCAAGTGATGGTGCTTGGAGGTAGGTAGGGGGTGGAACCACGTGATGGTGCTCGGAGGTGGGTAGGGGGTGGAACCAAGTGATGGTGCTCGAAGGTGGGTTGGGGGTGGAACCACGTGATGGTGCTCGGAGGTGGGTAGGGGTGGAACCAATTGATGGTGCTCGGAGGTGGGTAAACTGTAGAACTACAAGATGGTGCTTGGAGGTGGGTAGGGGGTGGAACCAAGTGATGGTGCTCGGAGGTGGGTAGGGGGTGGAACCACGTGATAGTGCTCGGAGGTGGGTAGGGGGTCGAACCAATTGAACTCGAAGGTGGGTAGGGGGTGGAACCACGTGATGGTGCTCGGAGGTGGGTAGGGGGTGGAACCACGTGATGGTGCTCGGAGGTGGGTAGGGGGTGGAACCACGTGATGGTGCTCGGAGGTGGGTAGGGGGTGAACACCAATGATGGTGCTCAGAGGTGGGTAGGGGGTGACACACGTGATGGTGCTTGGAGGTGGGTAGGGGGTGGAATCAAGTGATGGTGCCGGAGGTGGGTAGGGGCCGGAACCAATTGATGGTGCTCGGAGGTGGGTAGGGGCCGGAATCAAGTGATGGTGCTCGGAGGTGGGTAGGGGCCGGAACCAATTGATGGTGCTCGGAGGTGGGTAGGGGCCGGAACCAATTGATGGTGCTCAGAGGTGGGTAGGGGGTGGAACCACATTGATGGTGCTCGGAGGTGGGTAGGGGGTGGACACCACGTGATGGTGCTTGGAGGTGGGTAGGGGGTGGAACCACATGATGGTGCTTGGAGGTGGGTAGGGGGTGGAACCACATGATGGTGCTTCGGGGTGGGTAGGGGGTGGAACCGCGTGATGGTGCTCGAAGGTGGGTAGGGGGTGGAACCGCGTGATGGTGCTTAGAGGTGGGTAGAGGGGTGGAGACAAGGAGTGACTCAAAAGGGGGGAGTTCCTGCACCTATTTTTTTTTTTTTAAAAAAAAAAAGCCATATACAGTATCTCCCAGAAGTGTGGGGTGTCCTCAAATGGAAGGTGGAAAAGCGCAAGTTCTCTAACATCCACCAGCTCCGTGATGTCGTCATGGAGGAGTGGAAGAGGACTTCAGTGACAACCTGTGAAGCTCTGGTGACCTCCATGCCCAAGAGGGTTAAGGCAGTGCTGGAAAATAATGGCAGGCCACACAAAATATTGACACTTTGGGCCCAATTTGGACCTTGTCACTTAGGGGTGTACTCACTTTTGTTGCCAGCGGCTTAGACATTAATGGCCGTGTGTTGAGTGATTTTGAGGGGGCAGCAAATTTACATGTTATACAAGCTGTACACTGACTACGTCACATTGTAGCAAAGTGTCATTTCTTCAGTGTTGTCACATGAAAAGATAGAATGAAATATTTACAAAAATGTGAGGGGTTGACTCACTTCTGGGAGATACTGTATATATACATATAATTACATGGTCCGGCACACAGTCTGGTCTCTGGCTGGTCATTGGTCGGCTGTAATTGGCTCGGAGGATACAACTCTCAGCCACAAAGACTGAAAATCAAACAAAAGCTCGTTGTGCTCTCAGGTTGGGCTCCATGGAGGATCTGGGATCCGGCAGCCCGCAGTGAGCCCATCCTGGCGATTTATAAATAAAAGATCCGCGCTCCTTGATTGATGCGAGATATTAAATAATTAAGACTGAACATGTGATCCGACTCTCGCTTCTTCCTCTTCCTTGCAACGAGAGTCGGGTCAAACGCCACGTGGTGTCGGGCCTCAGGTGCGCTGTAGAGGGCTATAATTGTCTATCTAGAGAATTGCGTAGATCCCTCGGGATCCGCCGCTCAATGCCTAACCCCCCCCCAGTTCTATCTATGGGGGGGGGGGGTTAAGCTTTCAAATGTCTCTAATCCCTGTGTCTTTAAAACCATAGACATAAACAGTGGTCTCCTTGAGCCGATTCACACTGCTGCGACTTATCGAGTGACTTGATGCAACATGTGGCAGATAAAATCGCATGACAAGTCAGAACATATTCATTGTAATGGGTGCCGTCTTTGTGAATGCGACTCAAGTCGCAGCAGCTTAAAAAAGAAGTTCCTGCACTACTTTTCGGTGTCTTTGGTGCAACATGAGTGCCGTAGACCACAATAAAATCACAAACGTCGCAAGGCAGTCCTATCTTTGCAGCTCCGGATTCAAGATTTTTTTTAAGCCAAAGTTGCAAAACATCAAAGTTGCAGAAAGTTGCACCAAAGGCATACTGAAGTCATAAAGCAAAGTCGCACGACTTTGGGGTCGCAGAGGTGTGAACCAAGCCAAGGTTGGTTCAAACCAGAATGCAGTGCTAGAAAGGCACGTTCCATGCGCATTTCCCACACCTTCTTCAAAACGCACTGCCTTTGCGGTCTGCTGTTGATACCAATATCTTGTTAACAGCACCCCAAACATAAGTCGCAAACACAGTGCGCTTGCGACCACCAAAGTGCATGGTACCGCAAGCAATTTGGTGGAGATTATTTAAAAAAGAATTGTATGCACTACTTTTTGTACGTTCCGGTGCAATTTTCAGCCCCTTCAAATGAATGGGCCAACAAACTGAGCTGCAGGGGAATGCACATGACGGTAGACTGCATCCCTGTGCGATTCTGGTGTGAACGGTCCTCAGACATGCGGCAGACGGGGGGTAAACACAGACGGTTAGGCTCGGTTCATACCTATACAGTTTGCGTTTGATCCGTTTCTGCAGTGCTATTTGAGGTGCGATTTGCGTTTTTTGCACATGCGTTTTTGATGTGTTTTTTTTTCTTGTTGCTAGGCAGATCAAAACGCCTCAAAAACACAACAAATACGTACTACATGCTTTTCTGCAGCTTCTCCATTGAAGTCTATAGAACCAAAAACAAACTTTTTTTGCGTTTAAAAAAGTCCCTGACCCTCCGAGCACCGTCACTTGGTTCCACGCCCTACCCACCTCCAAGCACCGTCACTTGGTTCCACGCCCTACCCACCTCCAAGAACCATCACTTTGTTCCACGCCCTACCCACCTCCAAGAACCATCACTTGGTTCCACCCCTACCCACCTCCGAGCACCATCACTTGGTTCCAACCCCTACTCACCTCCGAGCACCGTCACTTGGTTCCACGCCCTACCCCCACCTCCGAGCACCGTCTCTTGGTTCCACCACCTACTCACCTCCGAGCACCGTCCCTTGGTTTCACCTCCCACCCACCTCCGAGCACTGTCCCTTGGTTTCACCTCCCACCCACCTCCGAGCACCGTCCCTTGGTTCCACCTCCTCCTAGCACCGTCCCTTGGTTCCACCTCCTACCCACCTCCGAACACCGTCCCTTGGTCCCACCTCCGAACACCGTCCCTTGGTCCCACCTCCGAGCACCGTCCCTTGGTCCCACCCCTTACCCACCTCCGAGCACCGTCACTTGGTTCCACCCCCTACCCACCTCCGAGCACCGTCACTTGGTTCCACCCCCTACCCCCTCCGAGCACCGTCACTTGGTTCCACCTCTGAGCACCGTCTGTTGGTTCCACCCCCTACCCACCTCCGAGCACCGTCCCTTGTTCCACCTTGGTTCCACCTCATACCCACCTCCAAGCACCGTCCCTTGGTTCCACCTCCTACTAACCTCTGAGCACCGTCACTTGGTTCCACCTCCTACCCACCTACGAGCACCGTCCCTTGGTTCCACCCCCTACCCACCTCCAAGCACCGTCCCTTGGTTCCACCTCCTACTAACCTCCTAGCACCGTCACTTGGTTCCACCTCCTACCCACCTACGAGCACCGTCCCTTGGTTCCACCCCCTACCCACCTCCAAGCACTGTCCCTTCAGTCCACCCCCTACCCACCACCGAGCACCATCCCTTGCTTCCACCCCCTATCCGCCTCCAAGCACCGTCCCTTGGTTCCACCTTCGAGCACTGTCCCTTGATTCCACCCCCTAACCACCTCCGAGCACTGTCCCTTGGTTCCACCCGCTACCCGCCTCCAAACACCGTCCCTTGGTTACACCTCCTACCCACCTCCGAGCACCATCCCTTGGTTTCACCTCCCACCCACCTCCGAGCACCGTCCCTTGGTTCCACCTCCTACCCACCTCCTAGCACCGTCCCTTGGTTCCACCTCCTACCCACCTCCGAACACCGTCCCTTGGTTCCACCTCCTACCCACCTCCGAACACCGTCCCTTGGTTCCACCTCCTACCCACCTATGAGCACCGTCCCTGGTTCCAACCCTTACCCACCTTCGAGCACCGTCACTTGGTTCCACCCCCTACCCACCTCCGAGCACCGTCACTTGGTTCCACCTCCTACCCACCTCCGAGCACCGTCTCTTGGTTCCACCTGCTACCCGCCTCCAAGCACCGTCCCTTGGTTCCACCTCCTACCCACCTCCGAGCACCGTCTCTTGGTTCTACCTGCTACCCGCCTCCGAGCACCGTCCCTTGGTTCCACCTGCTACCCGCCTCCGAGCACCGTCTCTTGGTACCACCTCTTACCCACCTCCGAGCACCGTCTCTTGGTACCACCTCTTACCCACCTCCGAGGACCGTCCCTTGGTTCCACCTCCTACCCACCTCCGAGCACCGTCTCTTGGTTCTACCTGCTACCCGCCTCCAAGCACCGTCCCTTGGTTCCACCTCCTACCCACCTCCGAACACCGTCCCTTGGTTCCACCTCCTACCCACCTACGAGCACCGTCCCTTGGTTCCAACCCTTACCCCCCTCCGAGCACCGTCACTTGGTTCCACCCCCTACCCACCTCCGAGCACCATCACTTGGTTCCACCACCTACCCACCTCCGAGCACCGTCTCTTGGTTCTACCTGCTACCCGCCTCCAAGCACCGTCCCTTGGTTCCACCTGCTACCCGCCTCCAAGCACCGTCCCTTGGCTCCACCTGCAACCCGCCTCCAAGCACCGTCCCTTGGTTCCACCTCCTACCCACCTCTGAGCACCGTCCCTTGGTTCCACCTCCTACAGGATTTATAAATTATTATTATACAGGATTTATATATTATTATTATATACAGGATTTATATATTATTATACAGGATTTATAAATTATTATTATACAGGATTTATATATATTGTTATTATACAGGATTTATTTATTATACAGGATTTATATATTATTATTATACAGGATTTATATATTATTATTATTATACAGGATTTATATATTATTATTATACAGGATTTATATATTATTATTATTATACGGATTTATATATTATTATTATACAGGATTTATATATTATTATTATTATACAGGATTTATATATTATTATTATTATTAATATTATACAGGATTTATATATTATTATTATACAGGATTTATTATTATTATTATACAGGATTTATATATATTATTATACAGGATTTATATAGCACCAACAGTTTGCTCAGCGCTTTACAATATAACGGGAGACAATACAGCAACAATACAGTTCAATACAAGAGGGATAGGAGGACCCTGATCCTGGGAGCTTACAATCTAATAGAAGATTTTTCCTCCAGATAGGAAATAAATGGTATAAAATCCCCCATATCAGTAATTAAAAAGAAACCAAAAAAGAGATTATCCAATGACGTCATCGCAGCACACCAATTTTTTCGCCCCCGCTTTCCCGTAATCCGTACTTTTCATGATCCAATAAATATCTGTTATAACCAGCAGCCCATTATAGGAAACATAGGACCCCGGCCGCCCTCGCAGCAGCGTCGGTTCTCCACGGAGACACAGTGCTGGCTCCCGGCTGTGGGATTAAGCGCGGGGACTCCCCGAAGAGTTTCATATAATAAACAAACAGACAAAAAGCCAAGAAGACCTTTAATAGGAGTCGGAGGAAAGCCGCCCGGCCTGCCCTCCCAGGGAGCTTCATTATGAACTTATGGCAGCGGCCAAACATACTGTTGTGTTTACGATGTGGCGCAGATTTATTTTACAAGTCAACGCCGTGCACAATTTATGTTTGCCATTACCCACTTCCAGTCCGGACACTTTCACCCCCTTCCTGTCCAAGTCAATTTTCAGCGCCATCACACTTTGAATGACAATTGCGCGGTCATGCAACACTGTACCCATATGAATTTTTTAGCATTTTTTTTTTTTTAGACAGATAAAACTTTATTTTGGTGGTATTTATTCACCACAGGGATTTTTTTTTTTTGCTATATAAATGAAAAAGTCCAAAAATTTTGAAAAAAAAAAAAAAAAAAAAAAATATTTTTCTTATAAAATTTTGCAAATAAATTATCTTTCTTCATAAATCTTGGCCAAAATGTATTCAGCTATCTTTTTAGTAAAAAAAAAAAACCAAATTAGTTTATAACTAAAAATTCTAATTTTTCAAACCTTTTTTTTACATTTTTATTTTATTTTTTTATATTATTATTTATGTTTTTTTGTTTTTTTAACATATTGCCACCCTAGCAGTCAAGTGTAGTGTACTACTTGTGGGGGGTAATGAAGTTTTTTTTTTTTTTAATAATTATAATTTTTTTTTTTTTTTAAATGTTTACATTTTTATTTATTTTTTTAGATTATTAATGTTTTTTTTTTACATACTGTCACCCTAGCAGTACAGTGTCACCATAGTGACACTGTACTACTTGTGGGGGGTGATGACCTTTTTTTTTTAATAATTATAATTTTTTTTTTTTTTTTTACATTATGTATTTTTTTAGATTATTTATATATTTTTTTTTTTACATACTGTCACCCTAGCAGTACAGTGTCTCCATAGTTACACTGTACTACTTGTGGGGGTGATGAAGATTTTTTTTTTTATTTACACTGATTGCTTTTACACCCATAAAGGCTGTAAAAGCAATCATTTCTCCTTCTCTTTGCTGAATTCTTGCAGCCATTGAGAAATACTGTGAGAGCTGTGATTGATCACAACTTGTCACATGGTACAAGGCTGTTGTGAATAGCCCTGTACCATGTGATCTCTGTGATCATTCACAGATTTCACACGTAGTAAGCAATGATGTCAGAAGTGACATCTTGCTTACTACTATTCATGTGATCACTGATTGGCCAATCAGTGATCACATGATCGGGACCTCACACAGAGGTCCCGTACAGCGAACGGACACAGCGGGCACCGGATCGCGGTGCCACGCACTCCCAGGCTAAAATGGTAGGCGCGTTTATGAACGGCAACCCGCTCCCGTTTATATACATGGGCCAGACGGGAAGTGGTTAAATAAATTCCACAGCCCCAAAAAACATGCATGCACTTTTATATGCACCAAATACCTTTGCAAACCCAGATATTACCTGGTAAAAGTAGCAGTGACATCATCACTGTGTTGTACATAACCTGTGCAGAGTCCAAAGCTGTGGGAGGGGCCCAACAGCTGCCTGCAGAAAACTACAAGAGGGGGCGGAGACCAGACCAGTCACCCTGCACAAGGAGAGAGAGCAGCAGTGAGTGGTCTTTATCACAGGAAGTCTCACACTGGATGACTGCACAGATCTGGGAGAAATACACAGAGCAGAGCGAGATCCTAGAAGCGTACACACGGGTGTTGTATTTAGACAAATATTTGTTCCGGAGTTTAGTTTTAATTAAAGTGAGTCAACTTTGAGCCCCTCAGGAACAAGCGGGATGGAAACCCTTTGCAATGTGATGATTGTGCCGGTTTTAATTAAAAAAAGAAAAGAAAACAACAAAAAACACCATTTTCTGACATTGATTTCATTTAGCCAGAGCCACTCCAGCAATGGAGAGATCTCAGCACCAACGGGGAGAGAAGGAGATATTAAACAATTCCACAACGAATCACAGCCGCCCAGCTCCCGAAGTCCAGCGGCTTTATTTACTGATTTAAAGGGTCAGTCCACCTGATTTAAAGGGTCAGTTCACCTGAAGCAGCTTGTTCGGTTCTGGCCGGCTGCAAGCATCGTGAGTCATCTGTTGGCCTCTCTCTGCAGCCACCTTCAAGGGTCTGCAGTGATGATGGTGGTGGTGGTGATTTATTTCACTCCATTCATCATTCTCTGTACGTAGAGCACTCCTGAACTCTGCGCTCTCTGTACGTAGCGCACTCGAACTCTGCGCTCTCTGTACGTAGCGCACTCCTGAACTCTGCGCTCTCTGTACGTAGCGCACTCCTGAACTCTGCGCTCTCTGTACGTAGCGCACTCCTGAACTCTGCGCTCTCTGTACGTAGCGCACTCCTGAACTCTGCGCTCTCTGTACGTAGCGCACTCCTGAACTCTGCGCTCTCTGTACGTAGCGCACTCCTGAACTCTGCGCTCTCTGTACGTAGCGCACTCCTGAACTCTGCGCTCTCTGTACGTAGCGCACTCCTGAACTCTGCGCTCTCTGTACGTAGCGCACTCCTGAACTCTGCGCTCTCTGTACATAGCGCACTCCTGAACTCTGCGCTCTCTGTACATAGCGCACTCCCGAACTCTGCGCTC